GCAAGCAAGCTCATCGTGTGTATCTGATGTGTAACGCTTGCGGCGGAACAAACCTTTAAAGATAAAAGTCAAAATCGTTTCTTGGGCATCTTCCCAGACCACCATGAATGAAGATTACGATAGAAAAGGCTACGTAATTATATCCGGTTATATCCGTAATGAGAATTTTAAAAGATCAACTCATTTTTATTTTAGATATATTCTTAATATGGGGCTTCACCCAGGCCCATCCTCATCATTACGGAACACAAAACAAAATAAAAGCTGTAAAATAAATAAAATAAATTTAAAGCGGTCTGTAAACCACCTCTGTTCTTTGTTTTTACAGTTAATCCAAATCACGTGGGCCCGGAGCCAAAGAGGTTGCGGACGGCCTACACGCGACAGCAGGTCCTGGAGCTCGAGAAGGAGTTTCACTTCAGCCGCTATCTCACGCGCCGCCGCCGCGTCGAGGTAGCCCACGCGCTCTGCCTGTCCGAACGGCAGGTGAAGGTGTGGTTCCAGAACCGGCGCATGCGCTGGAAGAAAGACAACAAGCTGCCCAACACCAAAGGAAAGAGCAAAAACAAGAAAGCGACCGACAACAACAACAACAACAACAACAACAACAGCAACAGCAGCAGCAGCAGCAGCGACAGCATGAAGACGGTGATAACTGTCTAAACACGCAGGAGCGCAGAGTGTGGCAGTCGAAGCAGCCATGGTAGCACCTTCATTCTCCAAAGCTGATGTTGCTTAATTTATCCAGGGTGACTGCAGTCCTCAAACAATTCTCACCTGCTTTAAAGTTACGGCTTTGACGAACACACGTTTATAAATTCCATGATGTATTTTTCTCTTGTTTTTAACTTCAACTTTGGAGCATTTTAATTTTTTTTTCCTTTTTTGAGGTTTCATCCATATTGAATCTCATAATTAATGAATGAATGAATATATTTTGAGTTCACGGAGGCCCCGACATCTCTCTGGTGCAGACAGGGAATTGCTTAATATTTAGACATCCGATGAAGACGCAAAAACATAGTGCTCGTTTGTTGCGGTGCCAAAATACTTCGTGACTGCGTGGAACCAGGATGAATCAGGGTTTTCTTTTCTCCACAGGGTAAACATAATACAGGGTTATAGAACAGCTTCCAAAAAGTAGAAAAATCCTAATTTATGAATATGCACGTTACCAAAATGTTACAAAAACTGGCGCTTAGAGGGTAGGTAGAAGAGCAGAAACACCAAATTGCGTGTTGAGTGACTGCACAATTATGTTTTAGCTTTTGATTTTGTACAGAGAAGCATCCAAAAATAATTCATATTTGGAAGGAAATTAGCCATATTTTTTTCTTGGATTTTATTTCCCACATTTATAATTTCTTTTAAAAAAAGAGCCAAAATGAAGGTATAATATTTTAACGCACACACCTGACTGTAAATCCAACTTCTTTTCTCAGGGTTACAGGGTTTTACAAAGAGATCTTTTTTTTTCTGAAAAAAACTTGTTTGATTTCGCACCGAGAGGATTAAACTAGCCCTCTCTGAAATACCATGATGTTGCATATAAATAGGTATGTTCTCTCTTTGATTCCAGTTTAATATGCTATCGATATCTATCATAGTCTACGCCAGTACTTATGTTTAATTTGTACTAATTAGAAGCATATTTTATTCCTTCTTTATAGCAAGCATCTTCGTCGTTATTTTTTCGTTACTTTTGAAAAAAAAAGTGTATTCCTGTAATAATTTTATATGTGGAAATGTTTTGATAAAAATAGATGAGAAAATAATAATAATAAAAAAAATTCAAACATTAAAGGTGTGAATATTTGTCTGTGTTGGAAGATAAGCGAAGGACCGATTATTTATTTATTTATTTATTTATTTATTTATTTGTGGCGGCAGGGGAAGATGAGGTCGGGAGAGAATCAACGGAAGTGACGTGTGATTAGAAAGAGTGAATTAAAGGCGAAATCCTGATATCCATTTTTGGCTTAAGAAAATAAAATAAATAAATAAAATACGGTGTCATCTTTAATTAGCACGGTCTTTGTCGCAGTCACACGTTAACGGGGGCTCATGGTATAGATAAGCCAATACTAATGTCTAGTGCGTCATGGCTCCGTTGACAAGCTTTTAAAATGCATGCACGCTGTCCCACGGGTGGATTTAGGTTGATCTTTACAGTTTTCTGATTTTCCGTTATTAAACGGAGCCGAAACTAAGGAGAAAATTTGGCGTTAAAATATTTAAATGTGTGGGTATTCTGTGTCTTTTACTGTTTAAATCTTTTTGGGATGTAAATTATTATGTTAAGAGACTTAAGTATTGTCTATGATGATATCTTTGTTTAGAAGTTTATAAATCCCAGATACAATAATTCGGGCTCGTCATAGATCTTGTTTGTCCAAACCGCGAATTTTTGTATGAATATCAACTTAAGTGAAATCGTTTGTGCCAGGATCAAGATTAGCGGTTAGGCCTATGAGTATAGTAAATTTACGGGAAAGGAACGTAAATCAAAGTAAAATCCCTTGAAGTAGTGGAATCATGGCTGTGTGTATTTGTGTGTTGATATGTAAGAGAAATGAGCGCTGAGTGCCAATAATTGGTGGCTTCCGTTGGAGACTCGGTTACATGTGCAGGATAACCACAAAGGGGCTGACACGGAGCAACCTGGATTATCTATCACACGCTGAAGATCAACCACAGAGCTGCCACAATCATGACAAACAAAGTTCAGATCTTCGCTAAAAACAGAAAAGCTTCTGAAGTTCTGCATGTCTGCAGTTTGAGATGTTACTCAGGGGAATACCACAAAAACACGTCAAACATCTGGAATTCAAAACCTGATCCCACTAAGACACACGCGTGATTACAAACGAGATGCAATTATTCCTAAAATTTCACACCACACGTTCACACACATTCATGTATTTTATGTACATTTAAATGGACAGAAACAGAATGCAAACAGAATGCAATAATACTGAACAGCATACTTGCAGATAGGCATGTGTTTGTGTTTGTGCGTGTACACCTACCTTTCTCTAGTCTGTGATGAAACAGGAATGCCCCCGAGTGGTAGCATTAAGTATTACAGTCTGAAAGAGATTTTTTTTTCAGGTTAAGTTAAATAATATTTTTCCATTTAAGAAAACATGGAAATATTTACATTAGAAATACATGGATATATTTATCATTAGCCCTTTGGATTAACAGAAATGTGTATAATACAATGTACCGTAATCAATGCTAAATTAGCCTTAGTAATAATAAGATATATGAACCAGAAACATACACATCTTTGCAAAGGTTACAATTTTGGGTTGTTACATCTATCCATGCATCATAATGTGTCTCAGTTACTTTGTCCACTTGTGTTTGCACTGTGAACACACAACCGTAAAAATGTACGACTATGTATGGTACATATACACAAGTAAGACTTTTAAGGCGGAAATGAATGTTGGATACTTCTCACAAGATTAAGAGCATGGCAGGTCACTTTAAATACAGTCACGTGTTCGATTGTAAAGCTTAAAAATGGACAGGGTGAGAAATGTCACGAGAATGAAACAGTGAAGCATTTCTTATTAGGGTGTGGACAATAACATAGCTACAGAAAAACACAGAAACATGGGTGGGCCACAGGCTTGTTTAGATATGATCGAATGCAGCAGCATTTTTCTGCAAATAGTCTGGATTAATAAACAAAATTTAAAAGATAAATGTTTAAATAGATAAAGTACAGTCGCTGTGACTTTCTTGCAAGTTTTTAAAGATAAAGTTTTTATCTTTTATTTGGAAATCATCTGCCTTTTCAGTCGTTTTCCTTGTACCTGACTATTTTTAGCGAAAAGTTTTTTTCTTTTTGTTGTTTCTACATCACTTAACACCGACATATTAATCATTTAAGAGTAAAAAGTCATCTCACAAGGGACGAAAGGTGTGTATCAAAGAACTCGTTTTAAATAACATTTTTAGGCATTTAGTCTTTTTGCACCAACAATGCAATTCCCAAACACATATTAGACAAAAACATGGGATGTCTCAGCATGCTGAGCAGTGTGTAATTAAAAACTATCTCCCGCAGGTGAAAAGTATCTGAAAATCAACTGACACAGGATGCAAAAGATGCAGATTTATAATAATGCTTCTCTGAGTCCACGTCTCTCTCACATGATGTATCTGTTTTAGTCAGTTTCACATACACTTTTTGTGCGGTTAGTTCTTTCCCTTAAACCCAATTTAAAAATGCTACTTTAATAATATGCATTTTTCCATGCATCAAAAGCCCAAATTATTTCTAGTTAAATATAACAACATTGCTACAGTAGCCTCTATGCGCGTCCATAAAGTGGAACTAAATATTAATGCAACAGTTTCTCTTACGGACATCAATTGCAGGCGGACCGGTCAGTGACTGCAGAACAAGTACTTGCCCTTAAACTTGCAAGCAGTGCTGTTGCTCAGATCGCTCATTATTCTAATCATTATTTAACAATAAGAGTACAACAGCAGCACCATGTCTCTTGCGGCAGAGGCGTTCATGTCGCAGATGGCAGGTAATATGTTGACTTCACCCCGTTTTTCTATTGATTATGAATAACATTAGCCAGCTAGCTAGCAAGAGCTAAGGTTCACAGTAACATAAGCTCTTTACAAATGTAGTTACTTACATATATGGACCTTTAGCTGTTACTATAGCTGCCTTTGTTCGCCTTTTCTTGGTTTCTTAAACAAAGGCTGACTGGCCTGGAAAAGCCCCAAGGCACTCTGTCATTCTTCATGTCGTGGATTGCTTGGCAGGTGTAACACAGGACTGTAATGTAAATAGCGCCATATTTCTGTTTACTGTTAAAACCATAAATCAGCAGGGGGACGGCAAATTCAAGCGGAAACAGCTCAAGAGGGCTAAAGTTACTGACAACCCCGTATCGTTACAAAAACGGCTCAAATCTATCAATTTTAACAGAGACATGCTCAGAGATTCCCCCGGTGGCTGGAGGCTGTACTGCAAGCACGGCGGTGTTACAGCATAGGTCGTTGAGGGAGCACCGTGCACCTCGCGTCTGTATTCTTTATAATCTTTTATTGATTAACTTTATATGAGTAGAGGTGAAGAAGAGGGTGCAGTCAGGGTGATGTGGATGGAGATGAGTGTCAGGGGTGATTTGTGACAAAGTGAGCCAGAGTGAAAGGGACGGTCTGCAAGATGGTAGTGAGACCTGTTGTGATGTATGGTCTGTAGACGGTACATTAACAAAGGTCAGTGGTGCTAAGGTTTTCTTTGGGAGTGAGCAGGATGGACAAGATTAGAACTAAGTATATCAGAGGGACAGATCAGGTTAAGGATTTTGACAAAGTTAGAGAGGTGAGGCTGAGATGGTTTAGATATTTGCAGAGGAGGGGTAGTGAACATGGAGCTGGCAGGCAGGAGGAAAAAAAGGAAGACCACACGAATGGTCATGGATATAGCAAAGGAGGACATGCGGAGAGTTGGTGTGAGATGAAGGCAGATGATCCACCAGGACGACGATTAAAGGGAGAGTCAAAAGTAGACGAAGAACAATTAGTAAAAGAATGTTGACAGCCGATCCCACAAGCAACATTATAGGTTAATGAGTCACATTCTCACCGTATAATTGTGTGTGTTTGCCTGCATGTCTGTTTGTGACGTTGACAGCTGCTGAGCCGTGGCCTGAAAATGCAACCTTGTACCAGCCACTGAAGGGTGAGTTAGTGAAATGGAGGCACAATACATAATGTCAATAGCAATATAGCTATTTATATATGTTGTTGTTTTTGCAGAGGATCAGATTCTCCTGTCAGACTGCGCCTCATCTCTCGCTGTTCAGGTAAAGCAAACATGCATGTAAACACATTACACACCTTGCTCAATGTAATGTTTATTTGTTAATAACTCAGTCTGTTGTGCTCAGGAAACAAGGAAAGCTTCTGTAAGTGTTAGTAGTTTTAATTCAAATATTTAATACTATTTTCATTATTTAATGAATGAAAACTAAACTCGTATAAAAGCTTTCAGTTCTTAATTGCGCAATTTTGAACATTTAACCAGCACAAAACTGATATAAGATAACAGATGAACATTGGCTGCTGCCAACGATTTAATGTCAGCTTATTTGGTATCTTATTAATTGACTGCCAACTAATAAGATGCTGATCTTAGGTTGTTATACTGCTGAAAATATATACATATATATATATATTTTTTAAATGCATCAAGTATGAAATGCAGTTGTTGATATTATCTGTATTTGACCTTTTGACCTCTACTCTGACTTTGGATTTGACCTTACTGCAGAAGGAAATCTGCAGTGCTGCAAAATAAAGTTAACTGTTTTTTTTTTTTTTTAAAGCATATCAAAGTATACCACAAGTAATATTTTTCATTTACTTTCACAGTATGTTTAGTTAACACATTCATCCCACAGGTGAACTATTTGAGACTGGGAGGAGATGCAAACCCAACCTCATGGAATTACAAGCTAGTGTCCTCCTAGTGCTTTTATTCCTCAGCTGCTTAATTCTGTCCCGTTTCTGATGTGCAGGCGTACCTGAGGATGTGTGGTCTGCCAGTTCAGGTGTTCTGCAGAGCAAACGCTGAATACATGTCACCTTCTGGTTAGTACACATGTTGCTTCAGAGACAAATTCTGGGTGTCTGATCTCAACACTGTGTGAATCTCAACACTCATACTGCTCATTAAAACATTACACAACTGTAAGCTGTGTAATGTTTGTATTCGAAATTTTAGTCCACTATAAAATGAAATGCTAAGTTTGCTTCCAGGATTCGTGTAGGTGCATCTGGAGGTTACTTTGTTGCAGGTTAGCGTTTTGTGTGGAATTAAATGTGATGATTTTAATGCCCAGCCTTTTTATGTTTGTGTCCACAGGTAAAATTCCCTTCATCCACGTGGGCAATCAGGTGGTATCAGAACTGGGGCCGATTGTGCAATTTACTAAAGCTAAGGCAAGTGTTGTACAGATGAAAGCTGTTTGTTTCTTTTGGCAAATTTGCTTCTAGTTTTTCCCAGTGGAGGAGCAGGTTTTCATATTTCTTTCTGCTGTTGTCTTCTTTTGGGTACTTAGGGTCATTCTTTGAGCGATGGCTTAGATGACGTTCAGAGAGCTGAAATGAAAGCGTACATGGAGCTGGTCAACAATATGCTGCTTACTGCTGAGGCATGAAAAACATAAAAACCATAACATACTGATACTAGAACTTCAGCACATGTACAGTTTTTATGAATGTGTCTGAGAAATATCCTCTCACACATGTCCTCATCTCTCTACAGTTGTACATTCAGTGGTGTGATGATTCTACAGCCACTGAGGTGTGTACACCAGGCTTAAAAACAAAAGCAAACTTGTTAAAGTCTTGATAGCCTCTTAATCAGCTGTATCTGTTTTTGTAGATTTCTCGCCCCAGATACAGCAGTCCGTACTCATGGCCTCTCAATAAAATCCTCGCCTACCAGAAGCAGTGGGAGGTGCGCAGGAAGATGAACGCCATTGGCTGGGGAGGGAAAACATTGGAGCAGGTTAGCAACAACCTGGAAGTGAAAAGCTGATGTTTTGCAAGCACTACAATTCCCTTTCTGCAATCACAAAAATAATTTCATATCTTATTTTTTTAAAGGTGGAATTCTTCAAAATTCTTCAAAAGAATTGATGTTTTAGACAGTTTGAAGGAAAAAGAACCCAGTCTGATCGTCAACATCAGACTGTCTAGAAAAAAAGTAAACAAACATGTTTTAAAAGTCTTTACGTCCTGATGTGTTTCAGGTTTATGAAGATGTGAGTCAATGCTGCCAGGCTCTCTCTCAGAGGCTGGGAACACAGTCATACTTTTTTAATAAACAGTATGTATTTTTTTCTATTTGTATGTTTCTGGTTATCGCTTTTCTCATTTGTCTTGTTTATAGCGACTGAATAACAAATCTACATCTGAGTTCTCCAGAATCCTTTTTCCAACCCCTGTTATAGGCATTCACACCAAAAAGGAAATGTTTTTAATTATTACAAGCAGTTTTCCTTGAGCACCACCTTGTGGTTTAAAATTGCAATGATCTCGTAATCAACTGAAAAGCTTTGTTCTGTACTCCCTGACAATGTTTGATTTGTGTTAAAACAAAGTATTACAAGTGAAGCCAGTGTCAGTAACACCTCATTTCTGATTATATTTAAAGCTGAAGGAGTGCCAGTCATTAACTGAGTGTGTGTGTGGCATGTGTGTTATAGGCCTACGGAGCTGGATGCATTGGTGTTTGGCCATCTCTTCACTATACTGACTACTAGACTGACCAGCACTGAGCTGGCAGAGAGGGTCAAGAGCTACAGCAATCTTCTGTCCTTCTGCAGACGCATTGAACAGACCTACTTTGAAGACAAGAGCTCCTGAAGGACTGAAAATAACATATGTCTTTCTTTCACCTCTTCTCGTACATTCTTTCCTTCTCTCATTCCCCAGATTGTAGCCCCAAGAAGCTGAAATGCCTAAAAAAAAAATTGCATACGTGTCCTTTTTCCTATTTTTCCTTCACTTTTGGCTTCCTGTTCATACATCATCTCCAGAAGTTTAAGAATTATGAATGTCCTAAAGTAAGCATAATTTTTAAGTGTATGAAGAATATGTAAAAGAAAATGTCCTGAGTTAAATGTATTTTTCAAAATATTATGAGAACAAATGCCACATATGCTAGTAACTGTGATCATCACAGTTAGTGGAAGACCTTGAGAATCTAGCTTTATAAAAAGTGAATACAAAAAATATCAACGCTGATATACAACCATAAATCAGTCTGAAATGAACATCAAAGATTAGGATTAAACGCTGATCAGACTTCTAAATCTTTCCGATTTGTTGTCAGGATCAAGTTCACCTCAGCAGAATGTCTGCGCACACTTGGGTTTTTCACGTTTTACACTCTTTTTCACGGAAATGGTGTCTACATGTGTCAGAGTGCATGAGTGCGTTTCTAAACGCCCACCGCCTCGCTGAAAACCGAGGTGTGGATTTCCCAGCCTCGTGACATGACTGCATTTCAGAAAACAGAACTCCACTTGACCTACGTCCGAGGTCAAATGGCTCACTGTGTTTTTCCTCCAGGGCACTCCCAAAGCTTGCAAGAAATGTGAAACG